ATTTCCTAGACCTTAAAAACCATCACCAGATCATGAACTTAGGTGTCTTTGATCCTAGCTTGCGGAGTCATATCTCCCAAGTTTATTAGTGGACCTGTTTGGTCCATATTCTGTCTGATGTTGCTGTGCCAACATATGTACACTACCACCACCATGTATTCATCTACCAGGAGCCACAAAGATCCGGGTTCGAATTGGTCCATGCTTTTCGTAAGAGGCGACCAACGGGATCTTGTGGTCAGGCTCGCTGACTTGGTTGATACATGCCATCATATCCCAGTTGCGTAGATCTATGCTCAAGATGTCAGTCAGTGGATTGTCTGGTCCACGTGCCATTATTTACAGACAGCCATCACATAGCTGGAATATTGCTGACAGTGGCGTTCAACAACCCAAAAACTCTGGAGTCATAACCCCTGCCCCAAGGATTAAGCCTATGAGCATGACCTGAAACATTAGAGATTAATCTAGGATTTGTAAACTAAGTTCCCATGGCAGGAAAATATGGGGGCAACGTAACATTTTGGTGTCAATGTATTTTAACACTGCATTCAATACAATAATCAAAGCAATACATCTGCTATTTCACAGTAGCCTGTAAACAACTGTGGCAAACCAATGGTTGATATCATGAACAATGATCCATGGACGCTGACACACAATCAGCCAGGTCATACACTATATCCACCCGGTTTTCATTTCAGTCTGTTAATGTGACAAGCATGATTCTCATCATGCCAAGGAATTCCCATAAGCTACATATAAAACCTTTCTTACTCATCTTAAACAAAATACAACATTTCTAACTCCCCCATAGAAAGAGTTAAGTACTGGTCTTGGGACTTTTTCTCTCCGAAAAGCAACTCGTGTAATTTCAAACCTGAGTTCTGCAGTTCAAAAGGTAAATACTTTGTGCCGTTCCACACAAACCTGACCGAAAAAACTTGTCCCATACAGCGGACAGATTGAGTTCAAACCTGTGATTCCATTGTAAAGATATTCCCAGTGTTTCAACATCCTCATGTTTTCGTGTAATCAGACAGCAGCCCATCCAAGTCGGGGGGGGGGGGGGCTGGGGCATATAATGAGACAAGTGGCCCCCAACTGGCAACGTGTCGATTGTGTTGCCTCTCATGCCTCATTCTCAGCCTTTATGGTGGCTCTATTTGAAGAAGCCTACTTGCATGAAATTCAATTTAGAACGGGGAGAAAAGTAAAGTGTACATAGTCTGTGACTTAGAAAGAAGATGTAAATTAACTCAGATGCATTTATTTGTTGAGAAAGTGTTCCAGCGTAACACATACCTCCCTTCAAACTCTTCTCTTTGCCAACAGAAAGTACTTAACCCTATGGCAAATGCTACGTCATTTCACTATTATCCTATCTCTGGAAACTAACTAGGATAGGCTCCAATCTTTAGCTACACAAACACAGTTTAATCATCATGGTAATTATGAAGCTTCTTTTCTGCTTCCCTTGACTAAGATGTAATTTGGTAGAAACATCTCAGGAAATTGTCTTTTTTATGATATTCATGAACCAAAATACATAATTTGGTGAAAAATGATATTCTGTCACTATACCCTAAACCGATAACAGCGCTTTTTGTAATACATATTAAATCTAAAATCCTCACACAAGAATGTCTGGGAATGTGACAAATCTCAACTCTTCTAAAACCAATTTCACATTGAGCATATGCATAAACAGTAAGCTGCAGAATGAATGAGCAGGGAAAGAATGGTGTAGCTGAAGCCTAAACCAGTTTGCCCAGCGTGGGGCTCTGACTGTACATGCTGTAGACACAGCATGGCTGCTGCAGCAGCTGTGGTCATCAGTCATGCTGCAACAACATTGTGACAGGCTGCAGCTCCTGCATCAAGTCAAGTCAAGGTGCCAGTTTCCCATACAGACATCCTCTTAAAACATTCACTTTTGTTTGTTTGTTGTTTAACGCCGCACTCAGCAATAGTCCAGCTATATGACAGCGGTCTGTAAATAATCAAGTCTGGACCAGACAAACCAGTGATTGACATCATGAACAGCGATCCACGCAATTGGGATTGATGACAGGCATCAACCAAATCAGCGAGCCTGACCACCCGATCCCATTAATCACCTTTTACGACAAGCATAGTCGCCTTTTACAGCAAGCATGGGTTGTTGAAGACCTATTCCACCCCGGATCTTCACAGGTCTAAAACATTCAGTAACTCACCAACTGTTCCCTGACACATCGGGAACATTGCTGACTGCGGCATTTAACAACATTCACTCTTTGCTGAGTGAGTGAGTTGGGTTTAATGGTGCTTTGAACAGTATTTCAGTTATATCACAGTGTGTCAGATTAATGTGGGAGGAAAGCCTGAAGTGATGCAGGTCTTAAACCATTTTGGTGAAACCCATGAGTACGGGTATGGTGCTGACAAACCCAGAAACATAATCGAGACAAACCGGGATTCAAATCATAGTATTCTGGCGTGCCCAGGGGATTTGACTTTCCACAGTGAATTGCAGCGCTATAGATGAGTGGGACACACGTGTCCCCATGATGTCATCAACTTTGGATAAGACATTCTAACTCTATGAAATTTGGAAATATACATACAGGACATTTTGGATGAGTGTCAGTGTCCTATAAAAGTAACTCTATGAAAAGGTACCTATTATGACCGGTGCTGATTATTAGCTATCCTGTTTCCTACTAATCTTGACTTAGCTAAAATACATAATGATGGTAAAATATTTAGAATGAACAATGTTAGATAGTGTCTGATTTATTATTTCATTTTACCACACGGCAGCCTTTCCATTTGGTCACCTTGTGAAACAACAAAACACATGATGTATTACAGCACATTAGGAGGTAATCTAAGCACATGTTGACCATCACAGCACATAGTGTACAGCACCAAAACACATGAAACATCCAAGCAATGATGTGGGCAGCACTAAGCTGGTGAAGCACAGTGGGACAGAGGACATTTAACATCAGTGCAACTGCAACACACTCCACAGAAACAAGGACTTTGTATACTAGTGTGCACTAATGTAGGACTACATCACTGTATACATCAGCTGTCCCAGGGGACCTGCTGTATTTAAGGTTTCCTGTAGACTAACATTTACTCCTATAAATAAAATTATCTTATTTCAAAATATACAAATGTAAAAACAATTAAAGACAGCCTGATTCTCTCATATTACTGAAGTTAATCTGTCATGCCAAGACACGTTAACTATAGTAATAGGAGAAAGAATCAGATGGTCCTTTGCTTTTTTTTAGTAGTATACATATCCACAAAATAAATACGAATGGTGAGTGAGTGAGTGAGTTTGCTTTTACGCCGCTTTTAGCAATATTCAAGCAATATCATGGCGGTGGACACCAGAAATGGACTTCACACATTGTGCCCATGTCAGGAATCGAACCCGGGTCTTCGGCGTGACGAGCGAACGCTTTAACCACTAGGCTACACGACCGCCAAATACGAATGGAGCCCAGAAAAAAGGTTAATTCAGTGAGGGAAACTAGACTTGCCAAATCATTCTAGACATTAGTTGGATTCATTTATTAGTTTATTCTGTCGGGGCTGGGAGACAGGCTAGGTTTCCTGCCATGTAATTGAATCTTGGGACCATCTAATGTGTTTGTTGTTTAACGCCGCACTGAGCAATATTCCAGCTATATGACAGCGGTCTGTAAATAATCGAGTCTGGACCAGACAATCCAGTGATTGACATCATGAACATCGATCCATGCAATTGGGATCGATGACAGGCGTCAACCAAGTCAGCAAGCCTGACCATCGGATCCCGTTAGTCGCCTCTTACCACAATAATAGTTGCTTTTTACGGCAAGGATGGGTTGCTGAAGACCTATTCTATCCCGGATCTTCACAGGTCGGGGGACCGTCTAAAACATTAGGGTCATGACAAGGACTCCTTGTCTTTCCTGCCTAATTTAGAACACTGACCACTCTGTACCTTGGACTACTAGCCAGAGGCAGGAGTCTAGTCAGATTACAATGGGGCTAGCAAACCTACTAATAGAGCTCATCTGTTCAAAAGTAAGCTAGTAAGAGCTCAGGGGTTTAAAAGCAAACTCAGATTATTCTGATTAACTGGTCTGTAGCCAATTTGAGCAGGATTTCTTTAGTCAAGCAAGCTTAGACATATACTACTCAAAAGAAGTTAAAGAGTGCTCTATTCTTTCATATTACTATAGTTAATCCGTCATGCCCTGACAGATTAACTATTAAGTAATATAAGAAAAACACCAAATGATGAGTTTGGGCTAGTGAACTCGATAGTCTTTTTTAAAAGTAGTTTTACCACAGGCATGGTGCTACTAGTAGCTAAAGTGATGGTGTACATAATTTCTTCATGATTAGCACATATATTTTTCATCATTGAAATCTCATTAAACAAGCAATGTGGTGCTATGCACAAAAAGGTAATAAGCATGTAGCAAGTTCACGAGGTCTGTGCTTTTTAACCATTAACCCAAACATAAATCGTACATGTTCTAGTCAAGTTAAAGTTCCAAAGTTCTCATGCAAAAGAGCAGAATGTGTTGACAAGTATGCTAGTGAATTAGTCTAGGCTAAAGGCTAAAATGTTTTTCTGCCAAACTAAACTAGTCAGTCCAGGCTAAGAGTTTGAGTCTAGCACAACGAGTATCTGATCTACACTGCGACAAGTGCTAGCATACGAACTTGAAGCAAAGCCTCAGTGCAAGACAGGCATGTGAGTACTGTTGGAACAAAGGTGTCTTGAAGCCTTAGTGTCAGCTGAAACAAGCAAGAAGCTTGGTGTTCTCACACCTTGGTGCCATGTGTTACAATCATGTGCCATGTGTTACAATCATGTGCAAGCCAACAAGAGCAAGTGAACATAGCAGCAATCAACGTGCAAAATGTGAGCGAACGTGCATGTTTGGCCGCGTCCATGCTGTGGCAACGCCGATGCTGTGAGCAGAGAAAGGTGAAGGTCTTACCGAGGTGGGCGGTGTGTCTGTCCCTATACTGACTAGAATGATTATGTCGCGAGCTCCGGCTCGAGGGGCGGTCTAACACAACCAAAGAGAGAGAGAAAGACAGGTCAGTCTCATGCTACAATCAAATTAAATAACCATACATGTGATATATAGGAGGGTCCAGACAGGTAAGAGGCCAAAAGTCTGGAAATATTTCTGTATGTTATGACAGTTATACATCATAGAGCTGGAGTATATATAACATATAGGACAAATATTTTTTTCTCTCTGACCAAACAATATCATTCTTCAAGGAGGAAATGAAATACAATTTACTTTGGAATATGAAGCTGGTACAATTTGAATCATAAGAAACAATAACTCTAAATGCAACATATTTAATTAATTCCACACTACTCTCTGCCAATGAGGAATCTCACAGAATCCAATGAGGGAGGGGGCAGTTTTGTGGTATCACATGTATGACCCTGTTAAAAACAGATAATGTCATGTCATGCATCATTTCTGGTCACATCAAAACTGAAAGAAAAGAAATAAATAAGCTACAAAGTCAACTTACCCATGCATTCATAATAAAACGTAAGTAAAAGCATGTTGAATATTAAAGTTATTTGTGTTGGTCTGGCTTGGGTCATGCAGAGCTATCAGAGATCAAGAGGAAGAATAGAAATTGCTGGAACAATGTAAATCATTTTTGTTGTATTCTGTTGCAGAGTAAGAGAGTAAAACTTGGGTTTACAGCTGCCTTCAAATGACATGGTATGGATCAGACAATCTAATCAGGACAAATATATTTAGCAAACACATCCAACTGAAGTACCTCATTTTATATAAGATTTTCTTTCACAAAGGGGTATAATAAATTAAACTTTACAAATAGTTTTAAATAGCTGTGAGATTGCTTAGAAGAAGGGTCAAACATTTTATCAGATGTAAGCAAAATTATGCAAAAACAATCTTGGATTGAAATGCAAGTTTAGAACTTGGAAATTAACCGTAATTTTCACTAGTCGACTAAATGATCTGAACAGAGTTGCCATCTGTCTTATGGTAAAAGTGAAAGTCCACAATGAAATGTCATTGGTCCGTCCTGAATTTTACTAGTCATGGACTAATGGACTTTTGCTATTTCCAAACCCAGAACTGATCCTTAAGCAACCGTTATGCCATGTTTTTATGGAATCTTTCCTGATATCCATATTTGTAAGCAATACCTCATAGAAATAAGCCAAAGTCTTTTCATGTCAGTTCTACAATAGCATCTTTCAAAATGGCCACCACTTGATGCTATCTGGTGGACAACTAGTGACATGTGGTAAGCAGATCAGGCCTCCTACCAGACAACTACTTCTGATATGTATCCTTACGCACTTCCTATGACAGGAACCACATCAATCAAGAATCAGTACTAATCAAGCAGCCATTAATATTCATTAAAAAGATCAGCCAGTCTCAAGCAGTTTGTCATCTCGACAGTCCTCTCGTTACCATTTGTCTGACTTCAAAGCTAAACGAGTTCCAGTACCTGATGCATATTTTGTGCTGAAAGGAAACTTAACTAAAAAGATATGATTTTGTTTGAAGCATAATTACATATATGTACTGTAACTTTTCCCTTCAATTCAGCTCTATTGCATTAAAATGCTTTAACCAACTTTCAAAACCTGGCCATCCGGAATGTGTGGCAATTGATCTGGTGTGTGTTAAACAAGAAATAGATGAAAAGAAACATTAACAATATTACTGCCCACAAAAGATCAAACAGGAGTCAAAGAATATCCATTTTCACGCCTTCACATTCAGCTGATAATGTGTCAAGTTACATGTTCTAACATAAGCGTTGTCTATTCAGCCTTGGGCTGTTGTCACTCTCATGCTCTCTGTAATTTTTCTCAAAGGATTACCAGAAAACCTAGCTTCTGTTTCAAAGATGTTCATCAAGTAAGGGTAGGTTAATTTTCCCAAACGATTTTTACTGAAACAAACCTTTGCAAATAACCAATTTACAAAATGTTCCCAGTTGTCCTGGGACGTGATTAATAACCATACTGAGTGAGGGAGTGAGGTATTACAGCTCTGGGCCATCAAAGGGCGATGGACACCAAGAATAGACTTCACACATGGTTCCCATGCTGGGAATACAATCCAGTTCCCTGGCATGACAAGCTAACACTTTAACCACGAGGCTACCCCAACACCAGTTTGACGACAGGGTGAGTGATTCAATTAAGCCAAATCAGCAAATATCAAGCTCAATTTTACAAAAGATACTTCCTGTAAGAAAAGAGCACATTATTCTTTATGGATCTGCAATAAATTCCAATACTTTGAATCTTGTGCTGTACCTGGGATTGCCCAGCAGTTCACATACAAGGTTTGAAAAAGAGAATGTCTTCAAGTTTTCAAGCGCAACAGAATAATGCTTCTAATCCAAGAGTACTCAATGTCTCCAACAGGCTGCCCTTTAATCTGATAAAGATAAGCAAGATAAGAATACTGACATGTCATTTTTTACCAAGCTAGACACCTCACTGATAAAACCACTAGTCCTGGGCTATTCCACAAGTGATCTCAGCTCTAAGATGATCATATCTCCCATAGACTTACGACAATCATAGCTTTAACTAAGTATGCAGATTGCTTTTTGGAATGGGACTGACCACGGTCTTGTAGGCCCAGTGATCGGAATAGTTTTGTGACCCAACAAGACAGCTGGGCAGGTGATCCATAGATGTTGCATGCCCATCTTCAACGTTACCTGCCCCCGTTCAGACAATATTGAATTTAAATATATCCTTGGGTACTGTTTCGAGGCCCTAAGTGTTTCTGATTATGTGTCTTAATATCAATCCCAATACACTAAAATTAAGACTAGATTGACCAATGAAAACATAGTTACTTCCTTTCATCCAGTGTTAATAATGGATTGCAGACGACAGTATGAGAAAACTCACACAAAATAATCTGAGACAAATTGTGTCTTGATTCAGTTGGAACAATGAAAACAATTACTTGAGAATCTACCAAGAATGCTGACTACATAAGTAGTCTTAAAATTATCTCCCAGACAGTCTGGCGGATGGGGGCAAATTTCATGCAGCCCGACAGAAAAGTCACCAGCCGCGGGCTGGTGGGCAGGGCAGTTATTTCGGACATTGTGTAGATAGCGTATTTGTCAAACCCTACCATATGAGTGAGTTATGTTCAACGCTGCTTTGAAATGTATTCCAGTTACATCACGGCATGTCAGCTTAATGTCGGGGGAAAGCCTGAAGTAATGCAGGTCTCGGACGTTTACCACTTTGGTGAAACCCACAAACACGGGCATGGGGCTGGCAAAACTGGAAACATAATCACGGCGATTCGAACCTATGCTAATAGGGACCCATGCGCTAGGAACGCAACTCTGCCCAGTGAATTGCGGCGCCATAGTCTGGGCCACCCGTGCCCCATGGCTCCTTAAAAGACTGGGCCACCCATGCCCCTCTCGCCTTGCCATATGACTAAGAGCAAGCAAGGCTATATCTTTGCAAATGGTTCTTTATGTATTTAGAATATGGTTACAATTTGCAAAGGTCACCGGACTGCCTGTCTGCTGGATATATGTATACATATACACATGTATGTTCTTAGATATTCATCAAGATCTACAGACAGGCTTTGTCTCAGTATGGGGTGAGGGCATCAAAGTAAGACAGGAATCCTCTACAGGGATCCTAGGTTAAGTTTGAAGTTGGAAAGATCAAAGGCATCGTTCACCTGTTGAGTCGACAACAACTTGTGTCTGAAGACACCCCTCTCTAACGGAATGGTTCCAGTCAATCACTGTGGCAATATCGGCCATACATTTACTGGGCATCAACAAACATATGGTCTACGTTTCTCTCATTGTAACCGTATCACAGTAAACTTGGCATACAGGAGATCTTTAAACTGTCGTCAGTTCATCTACACCTAATCCCCATCATAACAGTAAGGCTATATGAAGAACCTCTGTATGCAAAACATCCCTGGACTAACTGTCAATACCTTATAAACTTAACATTATTTCCTCATATCATGGGTTGAACACGAGGGAGTAAATGACTAGGGCTTCAGGTTGCTGAGAACAGTATTTTAGTCCCATCATGCCAGCTCCATGTGGGAGGATTGCTTCAAGTGATACAGGCTGCAGACACAAAGTCCTTGGATGAAACACCTGAGCATGGGTATGTTAGTGACAGACCAACATATTGAATGTGCAAAATCTGGGTTTCAAACCCATGATCAGCTGATTCTGAAAAAGAGAGACAACTCTACACGCCAGCTTTTGGCGCTTAAGACCACTGGGTCACAGGTGCCATCTACATAGCTGCCAACTTTCCCAAATTACAATTAGTATTTTGTTCCGTTGTTCTGGTCGGGGCACCAAAGCCTCATGATAGTGTGATTCCGAAACTTGACCACAGCAGTTTCTGGTAATACGAGTGGAGTGTCTCGATTGGACGGATGTAAAACTATAAATAGACTTCACACCAGTTGATAAACAAAAGGAGCTTGTGTTTGCAGCAGACAGTGTAAGGCCTAACAGAACAAGGTTCATACAGACGTGGAACACCAAAAATCAAGGCCTTTTCAAGGCTGCCAACTGTCATGTTCAAGGCTATATTAGTCGCAAGACCTAAAAAGCAATATTTATTTTTCACCCAACAAAACATAAATTAACTATAATAATAATTGTCATGAATTCTTCAGGCACACAAATCTACCACTGTGATAAATCTCAATTAAGCATCTTTGGTACATATTTCTGTGTGCTTTCATACTTTGATTAACAAGTTTATGTAAATTTGTACAAATTCAAGGCTTTTAAAGTTAATTTGGTGATTTTTAAGGCATTTCAAGGTTTACACTAAAAATGAAGGCTTTTCAATAGGGACCTTAAAATTCAAGGCATTTTCAAGCTTGTTCGAACACTGCAAAATGACCTACAAATTTAGGAATAAATCACATTTTGTATATTTGTTGCACATTCGTAGCAAATATGAAACATTCGGACAACTAGCAGCTATGCATAGAGAACACCTTATTTC